TATTATATATTTTAATTTTATAAATTAGCAATAATAATGTGTTTTATATTTATGACTATATGGATGTCTTTTATGTCATATAAATCTAAACTGAATTTCAGTGGATTAAAAGAGACAAAAGCTCAATGCTGAAGCTGCAGTCTGATATCCCCCTCACTCCCAGGTCCTCCTGGGACAAAATCACTGCATCCATCCAGTTTCCCATATGCTGAAAATCCACATGTCTACAGCCCTTCTGCACTGAATGTCAGTTTGCTCACTTTAATATCTCTGGGAATAGTTTATGCTGTACATGTGGTTCAGTCTGTGAGACGGGCTGTAGGGGTGGATTGTGGGACTCTTGGTCACGGTTCTTCTCATCGTGTTGAGTACCTTACCCCCACTCCACAATGTTGGATTTGTGCTTGATCGCTCACCACTGGTGTCTTATCTGTGAGAAGTAAGCGAATTATTGCCAGCTAGCTGGAATGCTCAGTAGCTTGAAGCTGTGAATCAGCCTGTTAACTCTTGGGCCTCAGAGTTCTGTAAGTATGGCTTTTTTGCCTCTGGAAGGACGGTGGTGTCCCACGGTGATGAGGTCATTATGGTCATCTGGTAACAGGGTTTCACACAACGGTTAAATCAGAAGAACAGCAAGACCTTCAGATAAAGGACAGCATTCATAAGATGCCATTTTTCTTAAAATGCCAAACATAAATATACATGATGTTCATACGGGCTATTTTTAGGATAGTTATGCCATCTATAGCTGTAATGCACAGATATGCAAATGCATTTAGTGTACAGACATTGACCTACATTCGGCCACATATGGGTCAGAGGGTAGGTTCAGTATGGCCCCAGGGTAAGATGCGTTTTTCCAATGCAATTAGACTGGTAAAGATCTGGCTGTGGAGGTTGTGTTAATGAAGGCTTTTTTTGTGTCTCTTCCTGCATATGTAATGAACATGCCTCAGTGGATCCACACAGACCATATGCTGTTTTCTGCTGCTCCTGCGATTTTGCATGTCACTGTTTTTCCCGGTGGGATTTCTAGAATGTTCCACAGAATTAAAGCGGGAGAAAAACGATTGGGAATATTTCTTTGTAACAATCTTTGACCCCTGTGAAAAACCACATAGCATTCTAAATCCTGTCAGTGGTTTCCTGAGAGGCCAGCACCATTGCTGGTGTGTTGTGTTGCTGTCCCACTCATGGGGCATCCAGTGACTGGAAGGATCTTTAGTTACATTAAAATGATCTTGAATGATCCTGGCATGGATGAAGTAATATGACCACAATGAAAAAGCAGTTGGGGTGAGTTTGAATTTCTCTCCCCTGCATTTGTTCCAGAAATGAATTTGAAATAGAAAAAAAAAAAAGAAATGGAACCTTCTGTGTCTCTTCCTGGCCATTGTTATTAGGAAGGGGTTTCTTTCAGCTTTGCCTTTTGGCCGAAACTCCACTGCGCCGATGAACTCATCAATAGCCCTTACAGGGAGGTGTTGAAAGGTGCACTGCAGTAAGAAATGAATGGCTCGTTTTAAAAACGCTGCGACTGTCATCATCATTCTTCTAAGCCATCCCTCAGGGTGGCTAAAGCTGTGAGGATATTGAGGGTGACACCGATGTAACAGACCTGTAATTGGTTAACTACACCGGCGTTGCCCGCTATAGCTGACCTACAGTGCAGGCCTCACTGAAGGCCTACTCCATCTGATTTCCTCCTCATCACTCAGCGGGATCCCCTGACATTTCATACCAAAACTATTCTATGAGCAGTTCATTAAAAAAAAAACAGCCTCATTAAGTGTATTACAGGGCCTGATCTATAATTCTGCGCCTGCAGAGAGCTGTTTTGTGGATGAAACACACTGAAAAACATTGTGTTGTACACCGGTACCCTGGCAGACAACAATGATTCAGTCAAACAGAACATTCCCACCATGGCCGAATCAGGGGCAGATTTGTAGGTCTGGCCCTGTTTTTAAAATGGCCCATTTATTTCTTACTGTATTGCGCCTTTCTCTGCTTCCTTGTAAGGGTTATCGATCAGTTCATCAGCACAGCGCGGCTATAATTCAGACTATCACACTGTAGTTGTTAACTAATCAATCACAATGATCGATGCTGTATTTGCATCTGGTTGACTGTGGCTCCTCAGAGAGGCAGATACCAGTTGCCTGAAAAGAACCAAACTGGGGTTGCAGTGAAGCGTAGTGGTAAGGAACAGGGCTCGTAACAGAAAGGTTGCTGGTTTGATTCCCCGCTGGGGCACTGCTGCTGTACCCTTGGGCAAGGTACTTAACTTACAATTGCCTGAGTGAATATCCAGCTGTATAAAAGGGATAACATGTTAAAATTGTAACCAATGTAAGTGGGTCTGGAGAAGAGCATCTGCTAAATGACAGTAATGTAACGTAATGGACAGGAAAGAGGGGGTTTGCCTCTTGCCATAGTGTATCCTTGTCCCCAAAGGCAGGTGAGAAATAATTCTTTCTAAGCCTGTTAGTTTGACTGAGTTGCTGTTGTTCTGTTGGTTTTGCTGATGTACAACATGCTGGGTTTCAGTGTGTTTCACTTGCCAAACATCTCACTACAGCAAACCCTCTCCTGGCAAACCACTCTGAGCTGTTCAAGAAATCCTCAAGCCCTAGCCTTCTGTTTTCATATCCATCATAACGCCCAAAGGTGAAAGATGAAGACTGATGAAGTCTCCAGTTAAGGTATTCTGGCATTAACAGTCAGTGGGTACTTCTCTTTGCACAGATGCTCACTAATTGAGCACCAAGAGTGGCTGTCTCTGTAGATCCTCCACCTTCTTGCCTCCGCAGGTCTGTGTGGTTCTTCCAGTGCGGTCATTGTGATGGGCGTCTCTCCTGGCCCCTGCACACACGCCCTGTCGGCTGATAGGAAGTGTCCCTCAGCCCAACGCTATTGTTCTCTCCACGGTCGGCCTGCTATTCCACGGCGTGTCTGAGGGAGCGAAAATAGCCCAGATCACTTATCTCGCCTCATCCTGAGAGACCCCCTGTGGCGACGTTTTGCCGATATTCTGTTAAAAACAGCCATCCCATCAGACCCTAGTCAATACACACACATACACTCACTCACACACTCACACACACACACAGACCTTTCTCTTTGTTTTGTCTGGATGGAAAGCAAGCAGACTGTTGCAGACTCTCAGTGTTAAAGAATTACGGAATTAAATTTTTACAATGAGATTTGTCCTCTTAGATTTACGCTTTTGCTTAGCAGACACTTTTACCCAGAGCGGCTCTCACACGGCTTCCACATTGTCCATTCATACAGCCGGATGTTTTCTGAGACAGCTGAGCGCTTTGCTCAGGGGCTCAAAAGCAGTGGGCATTGAACCAGCAACCGTTGGGTTACGAGCGCTGCTCCCTAACCGCTACGCCAAGCTGCCGCCCCAAGCGTTTCATACACTAGGACGCAGGGAAAGTAGGCCACGCCGGTGCGGATGTAGCGCTGGATTCGGTACGTGGCACACAGTAGCTAGCACGCGCCTGCGGTATGCAGGCCGTTATCCAGCGCGGCGTCTCCGCTCTGCCCTGTGCTTTCCCTTCCCTCGCAGCCAGCGCATCATAACCAGCGCGCCAGGAATAGATACCCAGAAATAAAGCGCAATCTCGGCTGCGGTCTGGGCTGCCGTCGCGTTTAACAGTGGGATGCGTGCCGTCTGAGGCCTTGGCGTCTTCAGGGCTTTCGATGCGGAGGCCGGCTATATTGAGAGCACGTTTCACACGGTCGATTAATAGCTTCACAGTGTAAACTGTGTAGCACTGATGGTAATGATTTCTTCCCCTGACTGGAAAGGTAGGTGAATTCCAGGCCATGGCTGTCAGGCACTTATACTACTAAAATGAGATATATTATAATGTATTAAGAAATATGTTGTTCAGGCCAAGAATATGTTGAAGGTATATTTAAAATGCTTTAACTCAATGTACTAATATATTGCAACATACCAAAACAGCAATAGTGTACATATTTTCAATATATTGACTGAGCTTAAAATATATATTCTCTAATATATATTCTAATTTTATTCATTGTGTGGGTATACACCCCTGTATATCTGCATATCTGGCTGGGTCCTTTGTTGCTAGGATGCTCAGACAGTCCCGTTTTCCTGGGCTTCACCCTCTAGCCAAATGCTGTCCATTACGAACCCAGAGTGAATCGTCTCTTCCTCGGCCCTCTTTGCCCCGGGCGTCTGTCTGGCCTGGCTAAGCGACGCTGTGGTGAAGCTCCTCCACAGTGCAAGTGGGATCCCGCAGTGAGATTGTGCAGGCTCTGCGCTTTAGAGCTGAAAGTTTCGGGCCCGGCCTCTCCCTGCCCCCCGTCCCATCTCCGCCAGATTCGGGCCCAGGCCGCAGCTGGCCGGGGAGAGGTGGGGCGGGGGCCCGGCGACCCCCCGAGCCCGCGGTGAGGTAACTGGGGGGCGAGGCGTGCTGTTTCACAGCTGTTGCATCATCTGGTCGGAGCTCCACGTGTAGGGGTGTGACTCGCGCATGGAGAAGGCATTACGCACACACACACACACACACGCGCAAATAAAAACACGCGCTGGAACCGGCTCCACACATTCCCTGGACTTCCGTGCGGCGAAGGACTGGGAAGCAAAACAAGGGGAAGCAAATACCTCAGCTTGATTGGCTGAGCTCTGATGGAATACTGAACGTAGCAGTGCAGTTCTGTGGTCCATCTGCAGTTGGTTTATTCAGTGGAGAGCAGTGTACCCACTGGTATCGCCTGTGGCACTCAGGGAGTTTTGCCTACAGCTGTTACATTGTCTCACAGGATAAGGAGTTACTGTGTTCACAATTAAACTGAATCCTCAGCTGTGAGAGTGTGGCTTGTTACATTATTATCATTTAGTAGACACTCTTATCCAAAGCGACTTACATTGGTTACAGTTCTTACACGTTATCAGTTTATACAGGTGGATATTTACTGAGGCATTTATAGGTTAGGAACCTTGCCCAAGGGTACAACAGCAGTGCCTTAGTGGGGAATTGAACCAGTAACCTTCCGGTTACGAGCCGTGCTCCTTACCACTGTGCCACCCTGCTGCCCACTGTTAAACAAAGGACATTTCCTCGTGGTCACCTCTGCGAGACTCACGGGTGACTGGCCTTTTGGTTGAAACTTCCTGTTAAAGTGAGTGTGGAGATGAGCTTGGTCGGTCCTTAGGAGCTGTCTCAGTCATCCGTGCCCCCAGGGTCTGTTCAGTACCGCTCCTGAAAGGCTCCTCTGTTTAAATCGGGTGTAACCAGGCTGCAGCCGTCCCCCATCTGAGCTCAGTCTGAGCGGGGTGCGGGGAGGGGGGGCGTCTCTGCCCACACTAATTAAAAAAAATTCCCTTTCAACCCACAGAGAATTGCATGATGGGAGATAAAGATTCGGTTTCAGACCCAAACCACAGACATGCAGTTGTAGCTGTGGAGGGCTGCACACTCCAGCTTCTGCTCAAAGCAGGAATGAAACTCTCTGGTTTGCAGGTTTACTGGAGCTTCTTACAGGCTCTACAGCTGTTTTGTGAGTGCAGCCTCCTCCAGATGATGAACACACTAATGAAGGTGCGCGCGTGTGTGCGCGTGTGTGCGTGCGTGTGCGTGCGTGTGTGTGTGTGTGTGTTTGAGAGGGAGAGGGCTCTCGGTAAGCACATTCCCTGCTGCTCGGGCGCTGTGTCTGTGTGTGTGTGTCTGTGTGTGGGTGTGTGTGTGTGCGCGCATGCGTGTGTGTGTGTGTGTGTGTGTGTCTGTGTCTGTGTGTGTGTGTGTGTGTGTGTGTGTGTGTGTGTGTGTGAGTGTGTGTCTGCGCGTGTCTGTGTGTGTGTGTGTGTGTGTGTGTTTGTGTGTGTGTGTGTGTGTGAGTATGTGCGTGTGTGCGCGTGTGCGTATGTGTGTGTGGGTGTGGGTGTGAGTGTGTGTCTGTGTGTGAGTGTGTGCGTGTCTGTGTGTGTGGGTGTGTGTGTGTGGGGGCAGGCCGCTCTGAGACGCAGGGCTGCCACGTCGGAGTGTTCCCCGCCCCTGCAGCGAGACTCTGCCTCATCGCTTCCCTGTGAGCCGCTCGCTCTCGGAGAGCTGGGAACGCAGCACTGCTTCAGTTTACCCATTAAACACTTACACCAGGCTTAATCTGCAGAGGAGTCATCAGAGAGACCTTAAGCTTGATCGTTATTATTATTATTATCATTATTATTATTATTATTAATAATATAGTATTATTATTAAGGGGGCAAGCGCCAAGAGTTGCATTCTGTTGTATATATTTGTGTGTGTGCTAAACCACCATAGAGGTGCCAGTCTCTCACTGTTTTCATTTTTCTCAGAATGTAGAAAATGTAATATTTTCTAAGTGTTGTCATCAGCCTTTTACTTCTGGAATGTAGAGGCCACAGAACGGCATTGGCTGAGTGTCTTTGACATTGCTGTTATGTCTGAAAATGGAGCTGTCACTTCAATGTCTGTTATGTTTGAAAATGGAACTGTCACTTCAATGTCATCGTGAAACGGGTGCAACTCTTGTTAAAGAAGGCCAAGAATAAGAAATGAAAACATCATCACCTTAAAAACGATCACCAAACGATTGCCATGACCATAACTTTATAAAAACAGACTATTTCAACACTTGTTTTGGGTTCAACACAATTGTGACACGTTGTTTTTGGTTCAGCAAAATTTGTTCACTCTACACTATCAGTGTTGATTTCAAACACTTTTGTTTTTCCAATATGTAATGAAATACGAGTATTTTCCTTACGTTATAAATATGGTTTTACATCTGAAACGACTGCAGTTTTCCCTCTGCGAGTTCCGCAGTGTAATGTATGCGTGTTTTAGAGATGGAGAGAGTATCAGTTACAGATGAATCTGGAGACAGCAGAATCCCAGGCTGACACTCTGTGACCCATAAGCCATAAAGTTAAATAATGCGATACCCCGTGTTGTCGCAGCGATACGCCGTTATGGCTGGTGTTTATTATATCCCTGATGTTAATAATTCAGGAGCGTTTCTGGGCTCTCTGCCTGCGGTGCTCAACCTCAGGAGTCCCACGGGGGGAGAGTGATATGACCACTGAGCTCCTTCACTCTGATGCTCTGACTCTCTGGCTGTCCTTCACCTGGTCACACAGATCAAGGACAGCCACGCTGCCTTTTTTCTGTAACTGTGACACTCTGACTCTTCTGCCTGCTCTCTGTGACCTTGACTCTCTAGCTGTCCTTCTCTGGTCTCTGTGACTGTGACTCTCTGGCTCCTCTGCCTTGTGTCTGTGACTGTGACTCTGTGACTGTGACTCTCTGGCTGCTCCACCTTTTCTCTGTGACAGTGACTCTGGCTTCTCTGCCTGCTCTCTGTGACCGTGAGTCTGGCTGCTCCGCCCAGTCTCTATGACTGTGACTCTGGTTCCTCCTCCTGGTCTCTGTGACCATGACTCTCTCACACCTCTTCCTGCTCTTTTTGACCATGACTCTCTGACTCCTTCATCTGCTCTCTGTGATCGTGACTCTCTGGTTCCTCTGCCTGGTCTCTGTGACCGTGACTCTCTGGATATGACTCTCAACAGGCAGTTCCTCCTTGGACTCTCTGACTCTGGCAGAGCAGCATTAGCCTCCTGCACTGAGGGCCCTTTTCTCTCACAGTGGAGTCGGGCAGTGGAGCTGTTTAGCTGCGATGTGATGGGCGTTAATGCGAGTCACTGTTAGAGGGAAGAGGTGAGCACCTGTTACCCTGAGATCCCGGACAGAGGGGGCAGCACCACGCCCTGCCAGGGCTGAATCACACAGCAGTGCTGCAGCCTGATCCCTCTGAAACTCCCGGGCGCCACTACGACTCCAACACTGATTAGATCTGAGGTGCAGCATGGTCCTCTCTACAGATGTGAGTGCCCCCTATAGCGTGCCCTGGGTGCCCTGAATGACTCAGTCAGAAAGGGTTAGGGTTAGGGCCTGCATTCTGCCATACAGCCATGCCATTTTCTGACAATGACTGAGATCCCACAGCAGCGGATCAAATTGGCCTCGTTCTGGATAGGCCGGCGTTTCCTCGCTTCACCGCCGTCCGGCACCCTGCGATTTGTCAGGCGCCTGCGAGCTGCTCTGATGATGTCAGAGGAGTAACGCCTATATCCCAATGAGCCCTCGCTCCACCGCAGCACACTGTGTGACCTGCAGTGCAGAAAATAGCCTTTGGCAGCGTGTATCAGAGGATCGCATTCGTCTTGCCGTAGTGCTCCCGCATGAGTGCTTGCTGACATTGTGGCAGAGAGACGAGCCTAATGGACAATTGTCGATTCCAGAACCGGGCAGCATAAAGGGCAGTAAGCACACTGTTCAGTTGTTTTGATTGCAGGCAAAGACATTATTACGGCCGTGTTTTGTCTTCTGTTCATTCTAATGTCGTCCAGATTTACGTTCTTTCTCTTATACCCACAGTAATGAACAGTTAGAGTATGCGCGTATGTAGTAGAAGCATATGGTTATGTAGGAGGTTAGAGGAAGCACTGGAAACTTTAAGGAAAGTACGTGTTTGGAAGAAAATGGTCTGATTTGAAATGTGACTCTGGATAAACATGTAGCCACACAGCCACTGCAGCAGCGAAGTGCGCAGGGGGTCTCCAGGAACGAGGCTGTCGGTTTCTGGGTCAGGCCTGGTCTGTTCTTCTTCTTCTTCGCTCCTTTGCTCTCTCTCTCTCTCTCTCTCTCTCTCCAGCGCTCGCAGCTGTAAGTGGGTGCAGCTGAATCTGACCTCCTTTTCTAGCAAACAACAGGAAAAAAAAAAAAAAACGCGGCCAGGATTCTGGGCCAGCCTCCTGCATCACTTCCTGCAGCATCTGGGATTGATCAGCAGAGAAGGAGGAGGCCCGGCCTGGCTGGCTGTGCTGTGCTGTGCAGGAGTGGGGGGAGGGAGAGGGGAAGAGCCGCCATTCTATTTAACGCCCTCCTCTGTCCCGCAGCATGCTGTAGGCCCCGTGCGGGGGGAGGGAGAAGGGAAGAGCCGCAGTTCTCTTTAACGCCCAGCCTGGCTGGCTGTGCTGTGCTGTGGAGGAGCAGGGGGAGGGTGAGGGGAAGAGCCGCTGTTCTCTTTAACGCCCTCCTCTCTCCCGCAGCATGCCGTAGGCCCCTGAGCGGGGGGGAGCGGCCGAGCTGAAGCAGAGATGAGCCTCACGTCCTGGTTTCTGGTGAGCAGCGGGGGCACCCGGCACCGCCTGCCGCGGGAGATGATCTTCGTGGGACGAGACGACTGCGAGCTCATGCTGCAGGTAAGCGCCGCAGGCTGGGGCTCCAGACATCGCCACGGTTACTGCGGAAGACAGTGCCACACAGAGAGGGCATGCGCTCGTAGCTGCCACTCAAAACTCACAGCCCTCCCCGAAACTGGAGGCGCGTCTATTTTAACAGCCTCAGTCCTTTTCCTGTCTGCGCTCGCATCCTCTAACTGTATGAAATGATTGACATACGCAGCTCTGCAGAGTTCAGCCTAGAGACACTCTGCTGACCTTGCCTGTCACAGCTACTACGGAGAGGAGGCGTAAGCAGATGTTATTGACACTTGTCAAGCTTTGGGTGTGTGTGTGTGTGTGTGTGTGTGTGTGTGTGTGTGTGTGTGTGTAGGTGTCTGTGTGTGTGTAGGTATCTGTGTGTGTGTTTGTCTAATGAATGCAGGTGAAGCTCTCCTTCAACACACCGTTGATCCCTAATGTGGAGCATATTAGCCTGTGAGAAGTTAGGCTAGAAGGCTGTTCACTGTTTTACTCTTATGGAGAGACTGCTTGCATGTAAATATTTTTGTACTGTTTAGAAATGTCAGTGGGTCCAGCATGAGGTACTAGTACTGTGTGGGTGTCAGTGTCTCCTTGTGGACGTAGTGGAGGAGCAGCAGTCTGACTCAGATCAGCTGGGTCATCTGCTGCAGTGAAACCACTGCAAGCTCCTGTGACCTCATATGACCTCTGACCTCTAACCCCTGACCCTTCAGGAGTCATTGGTCCTGAGCTGTGAGATGGAGCAGGTGTGTGTGTGTGTGTGTGTTCCTGCGATGGGGGCGTGAGGTGAAAGCCTTTCCTGCC